GTTTCGTTTTCCAAGAGCCAGGCACCAATTAAATGCAGTGTTAAAACTTGTTGGTTTTTGGATTGGGAAAATCTAAGTATTTTTGGTCGGGTGGCATGCATTAGGGTCCAATTAAAGGCCAATTAAGACAAGCCACGTTTAAAGCAACTTTTGAGCAAATTATTTGTGTTGCTTTGCTTTTATTTATTTTTTAATCCTAAGGTGGATGACATTAATCTATTGGGAAAATATATATATATTTTTTGTTAGAGAAAAACTAGTCTATATATTTTTTACCAATAGTCTTAAATTAATATAGTCCTATGTTTTGCATATATGAATATATGAGTACTGAATTAAAACATTTATAAGAGTTATAAATAAATAAAAAGTATTTATAATTAAAAATTCAGAATTTTCCGGAAAATACTGGAAAAATCGGATCGAAAAGGGTTGGAAGTAGTTCGGAATTTGTCAGACTTTAATTTAAAATACATTTCGATTTCAATTCAAATTTTATCAGAAATATCAGCTATTGGCACTTTCAAATATCATAGGTATCAAAGTTGGATTTTTTTAGAAAGTTTGGGACTATAATGGGTCGCAATCAGATTTTCTCATTCAATTTACACCCCTAGAAGAGACCAAACCAAACCAATAAACCCATTACTAATAGATTGGTTTGGTTTGGTTGATACATATATATTCAATTCCAACTGTGATATTTCATTGCTCCAATACTTTAACGAAGCATTAAACTTAACCGAATCACACCACATCCAATCCTACTTTACAGTGCCTCCACACCCATCTTGACATGACTTACAAGGTCCATCTTACACTCAAGTAACAAACAATTAAATTTTTTTTAAAAAGTTATGAGATTCTTACTCTCGTGTGTTCTTTATGCTTTGCTTGCTAGTTAATGCCTCAATCCCATGAGGAAAGAAACCCAATTTGCATTTTGATTGTTTGAACCCAAAAAAACTCAAATTCCATGGACACGTGACAATGACATCTCCTCCAAGACACACCAAAGTGGACAAGAGGCAACTTGGAAAATGTCCTTCCCAAGGGCAATCATAAAATCATTTTTGGTTGCAATCATTTTTCATCATTAAAAACCAGTGGTTACCTAATGGGCCGGGCTATTAAAACCAGGGGCAGTTTTGAAATATCGCAACAAACACAGTACCTTTTTGTCATAAAGCAGAAAAAATAAATAAATTGATTAACGACGATCGTTTTAAAAAAAACTCATCGACATCTCCCAGTGTATCCGTCGTCGTTTTCTTTTTTCCTCCAAATCGGAGAAGAAAGACAGCGAATCTCTCTGTATGTCATTTTAGGGCTTCGAATTTTCGTTCCCAATTCTTGGTTTTCTGATTGCTCCGCTGCTCCTCAGTGAACGGTAGCTTGAGCATGCGGCGCTCTTGATCTCATGGTCTGATCTTGGCGAATCGCAATTCGACGGTGGTGATGGCGTCGGCGCAAAACCAATCGGCGAATGTGGATCTCTTCGATGCTTATTTCCGACGAGCCGATTTGGACCGCGATGGCCGGATTAGTGGCAGCGAAGCCGTCGCTTTCTTCCAAGCCTCCGGTCTCCCCAAACCGGTCCTTGCGCAGGTACTCTCTCTCCTCTCTCTTCTTTTTGGTCGTATAAGCCGTCGCAAAACCAATCTATAGTTGTATTTATATCATAGTGTTTATGATTGTATATGTATAATGGTAGTGGTTGATCGGGCTTTGATGTTGATGGAAATGTGCTCTCAATCAGATTGTTTTGAATTTTTAGTCTTTTTTTGGCTGAAGCAGTTAATGTGAGCTCGGAATGTCCTAGTTCTCTGATGGGAGCTGAGCGCTTTCATTTTGTAAGAGAGCCATGTTATCTTGTTAAACTAACTTTTTTTTTTGTGCGTGCTCAATCGATAGTAGGTGGCATGGCAGGCAGACTTTAGAAATGCTATTTGTATGGATACTGTAAAATGTGACTTCTTTGCATTGATTGGTCACTGAGAATTGTTTATGAAATTACAGTAATGTAGTGGTGCAAACCTACAGTATGATTTCGTTAGGTTTTCCAAGGTGTCAATGATAGTATAAGACTACTCCGGAATAGTTGGAATTTTAGCATACAACTGAAATGTTCATGGACATGATGATATCAACAAATGGTATTTTATGCTGTATATTTGTTTAGTTGGAGGAAAACTGTGCAAGATGATAACTGGGGGAATGATATGTTATCTATAAATGAATTAGAAGCACTTTGTCATTATCTTTTTCAACCGAAATTTGGATCAGTTATAGTTTATATTTGCTTCTTATGTTCATTGGCAGATATGGGCAATCGCAGACCAGAGGCAGACTAGTTTCCTTGGTCGGGCAGAGTTTTACAATGCACTTAGACTTGTCACTGTGGCACAAAGTAAGCGAGAACTTACTCCAGAAATTGTGAAGGCAGCATTATATGGCCCAGCTGCAGCTAAAATACCTGCACCTCAAATAAATCTCGCGGCCACGGCTGCACCTCAGTTCAATTCTGCTCCAGCAGCACCTGCCACTCAGGGCGGTGCTGTTACTCCGACATCCTCCCGACCACAGGTACAATCTCAGTTCAATCCTGCTGCACAAGCACCTGCAACTCAGGGTGGTGCTGTTACTCCAGCATCCTCCCAAACCCTTGGGTTCAGAGGGCCGCAAGTACCTCCAAGTGTGAATGTGAACCAACAAAATTTCCTTTCTCAAGATGCTAAGTCAACGAGGCCTCCAGTGCCTCCATCTACTTCTGATTCCCAACCACCACAGGGTGTTGCCACTCAAGGGTTCCCTAGGGGAGGTTCAGTGGTACACCCTCATCCACCAAACTCGAGTATGTCAAATGATTGGATTGGTGGAAGGACTGGTGGAGCTCCGACGGGGATACCCTCAACATCAGGACCAACAGCTTCCCTACCACCTAGACCGCAGGCAGGTTTTGGGATAAGACCATCAGGACCACCAGCTAAGGATTCCAAGTCATTAAATATATCTGGGAATGGGTTTACTCCTGATTCATCTTTTGGAGATGACGTGTTTTCTGCAACAGCATCTCAACCAAAGCAAAATCCTTCTGCACATGCATTTCCTCCTGGCAGTGTACCGGTCTCATCAACCATTGTACCAGCTGCTGGGACCCAATCTTCAGCTAGCCCAACTACTGTTGGTTCTTTGCAAAGTTCACACATGATGCAACAGGTTGGTGGGCAACCTCAGCAGGCCCAGTCATTTCCGAAGCCAAACCAACAGGTCTCTGCTCAGACTAGCCCATCTGGAGTTTCACTTGGAGCTGGGAACTCTGCTTCTAGTCAGTCCCATATACAATGGCCTAGGATGACTCAAAATGATGCTCAGAAGTATTCCAATATCTTTGTGAAAGTAGACACAGACAGAGATGGGAAAATCACTGGTGAACAAGCGCGCGACCTATTTCTAAAATGGGGACTACCAAGAGGTGGGACTAGTTTTGTTAAATTTATCTTTTGTCTTGTTATTTATAAGGCACAGTTTCTTCTTCTATGCTAGCTTGAAACTGCAACTGATGCCTCTTTGTAAAACTTGCATTGCCCCTATCTCTGAGTTAAAGTTGTTTAATTTCCCTCGTCTGGGTTGGTGGCATTTAGTTCAGACTTTCTGATTATAACAGGCTAGATCATTAATTTATAAGTTTTTTGTGAGATACCTTGCCACATCTATTTGTGACTTGGGACCATTCATAGAAACTTTAAAATGGATTCATGTCTGAATGTGCGGTCTATATTGATGGTTTGAAAACATATCTGCTGCATTGTCTTGCAAGGGAACATTACTATTGTAATTGGATATGAAATTTCAGTATTTTTTAAAACTCATATAATGCTCTTCCTTGTCTTCTACGAGCCTTTAGTTCCCTCACTCTTTAACTGTATGCTATTGTTTACATCTGTCAGAGGTTTTGAAGCAGGTGTGGGACTTATCCGATCAGGATAATGATAGCATGCTTTCTCTCAGGGAGTTTTGTGCCGCACTATATTTGATGGAGCGGTATAGGGAGGGACGCCCTCTCCCAGCTGTGCTACCAAACAGTGTTATGTTTGATTTATCTAATATTTTTCAACCCACAAATCATTACAACCATGCTGGCAATGTACCCTGGAGACCTGCATCTGGTATTCATCCATAAAACGAATCACTTTTTTTGAGATCATATGTCCTTTCATGGAGATTAGTTTCTTATTTTTCACTTTAAAAGGCGTTCAACAACAGCAACCGATACCTGGCCCTGGGGCTCGACACATGGCACCCCCAGTTGGAGGAAGGCCACCGAAGCCAGTTGCTCCTTCTCATGCTGATGAAAGGCCACAGACCAATCAGCAGAAACCAAGAGTACCAGAATTAGAGAAACATCTTTTAAATCAACTGAGTAAAGAGGAGATTAACTCCCTGGAATTAAAGTTCAAAGAAGCAACTGAAGCTGATAAAAAGGTACTTGAACTTTCCTGTTCCCCAATTTTGACAGTGCGAGCCATTTGTCTGTTCATCTGATGTTCGAGCTTTCCCTCTTTATGGTATAAGTTGTATACCATATGTATTGTGGTAAAAAACTGGCAGCTTTTGTGTTTTTTATTCTGAGATAGAATTTGCTTCCTGACTAATTCTAAGCGCTGGTATAACATTTTGGTTATATTGGCTTTATCCGCAACCCAATTGGTTTAATCTGTTCTCTCTCTCTCTTGCTCCCTCCCTCCCTTCCCCCTCCACTGTCTCCCTCCCTTTTTTTTTTCATGATGTAGCTCCAAAGCCAATTCATTTCCAGATTATCTCCTTATCTATGTATTATTTTTGCAAAGTTATATGTCTTTGTTACTTCCAGATACATGTCAAACATACCAAAGAACTTGAAAATCTTGTGATTATGCGTTTTACTTTGAACTTAATATTGTTGTTTTAATTCATTATTCTGTTGAGAAGATTTTCATTAGGCTTAAGTAGGAAGGCTGTTCTGGCAATGAATCATGATCAGTTTTCCTTGAATTGCCAACTTATGGAATAGGAATTTCCACATACTTTTATACTGTATTAAACTTTTGCTCCATTTTCAGCTTTTTTCTTTCAACCTTTTAATATGATTCCTTTTGTTCTTTGAAGGTAGAAGAACTGGAGAAAGAAATTTTGGATGCTAAAGAGAAAATTGAATATTTCCGTGTCAAAATGCAAGAACTTGTAAGTATCTCATGTTATCTTCTTCCCTTTCCTTCTTGTATGCCCCTGCTTGGGCATATTGTATATAATAAAGTTGTTTTACTTTTTGCTTCTGAATCGAATTGTTCAATGACGAGTGATAGATTTTTGGATGTCCAAATCATTTGTTACTATTAACTAGTCCACAGAATTTTTACTATTTGATCTTCAGTGGTGTGAGAAAAACTTGTTTAAAGTGTGGATGGTTGTGTTGTGAAGTAGCAGTGATTCTTGTGCTGACAAGGACCTGTTGGGAAGTTAGGGCAGAAAGTGTAGATCATGTGTTTTTTCATTATCGCTTTAATTTGTGGATGAGACTGTTTAGGGAAGGAAATTTTTGTTGGGTAATTCCAGCTGGGTACTCTTCTCTGTTTTGTAGAGGGCATGAGTAGTTTGGTGGGGTTATGAAGGCAAATGTTTTTTGGGATGCAGTGTTCTAGCAGCTATTTGGGTTTCATGACTTGAGAAAAGCTAGAGGAGTTTATAAAACTTTATCGGGTATGGAGTAGTTTTACGATAAAATTTGATTTCGGCCATCACCTTTGGCTTCAACATCGTCTGAATTTCATGATGTATCTTTTCAGCCATATTCACTGATTGAAAAGCAGCTGTTTTCTATTTTGATATTTTAATTAGATTGAAGGTTCTGTATGTTGGAAGAAATTATATTGTTCCTGTATTCATTGTATTACTGTTTACGGTGGACACTTGTCCACAGAGATTGCACCGTTTGATTGAAATAAAATATTGTTTCCATTTATTTTATTTTAATTTTTAAGGATTGACTAGGACTCTTTGAGTTGAGGAGCTTTGGTAGTCAATTAAGAGGTCATTCTTATGCACCATAATAGTGATGAAACCAAGATCCAAATTTTGATCAACAATGTAGCAGGGGCATGGGAAGAATTTGTCATATGTATAATTTTAGACCATATTTCTGGAAGAGTTCACAGCTTGTGGTGTATTTCAAGGCGGCTTCACTTTGTTACTTTAGGCAAATGACATTTTAAAAGGCATTTGTTTCAAACATGTAATAATTTTATATCTAGATACAAGCATTATGCTTTCAGTTTTTGAATGCTTGTATTGGATGATTGAGAATGATAATACTTTATTTTAAGTCTCACATGCGTTGGGTGTGGTGTTGAAATTAGCATGTTTGATGACCTTGTTGTTTTTGCTATATTCTATAATTTCCTTTTTGGTATAAGGTTTTGTACAAGAGCAGATGTGATAATCGCCTTAATGAGATCACAGAAAGGGCATCTGCTGATAAACGTGAGGTATGTTCTAGAATGCTTGAGCCTGAGCACATATTTACATTAATCTTTAGCTACTATTGACTTCATGAGCTCTACATGATTTTAGGCCGAGTCCCTGGCCAAGAAATATGAGGAGAAATACAAACAAACTGGAGATGTAGCTTCCAAGCTGACTATTGAAGAAGCCACATTTCGTGATTTACAGGTACGTGTAACTACATTTCAAAACTTTATGTACAATGCCTCCATATTGTGTTATGTTGCTCTTGCTCATTCAAATCTTAAAGGGTCACATGCTTGCTGTTTGTTAAGTTAGGATTTAAATTATAAATGTCTGTGCATGCGAGATGGCTTACTTTTATTGTTTTATGAGATAAGTAAGAATGGGAATTCAACGTCAAATAGGTCTTTATGAATGGGAATTCAAAATCAAATAGGTCTTTATGTGTTTTACTTTTATGAGTAACAAACATAATACATTTTTTAGGATTTCTAGGAGTAGTGGGATAGAGAGAAAGTAGGGTCGGAAAAGAGAAAAATAATGGTGATAGCCCAAGTGGTGTATTCATTTTATTATCACAGATTGGATTATGTTATGTGATTGATATGCAGGAGAAGAAAATGGAGCTATACAGGGCAATTGTCAAGATGGAGCAAGGAGGTGATGCAGATGGCACCCTTCAGGTATATTTAAACGTGGGTGGTTAATGGAAACCTTTGCAGAACTTGTCTAAGATAATTTCCAACTGAATTTTCAGGATCGGGTTGATCGTATCCAGTTGGATCTTGATGAGCTTGTAAAAACTCTCAATGAGCGCTGCAAGAAGTATGGATTACGTGGAAAGCCTACAACATTAACTGAGCTTCCTTTTGGTAAGTTGATCTCTTTCCTTTGTTGATTTCTTGGGAAATTTGAAATCCTATATATACTCATAAGAGTAGTTCTATTAAGGATTAAAATATATTTCATAGAAAATGTTATGTGAAAAGTATGATTTATGAGAAAGTCCCATGAATGCCCTTGGAGTTTTCAAAATGATTTTTCTTTATCGAAATTATTTGATGGATTTTACAACACTCTGGATGGTCAAATTATTTCGATTTAGTAAAAGCATTGTCTTTCTAGAAGCTGAAATCATTGGAAATCTTATGTAGTCTTGCAAATCTCTCTGATTTGTTTGTAAAAAAAGAAAACATGTAACAGGATGGATTGAACTTATTCAAAGTCTGTAAGGTTTCATTAGTGTCATTTTTTTTTTCTTTATAGTTAACTGCTGCAATATTTGTAGTTTTATTACATTTGGCCGTTTGAAACTTTTCTTTGCTTTTATATAAGGCTGGCAACTGGGCATCCAAGAAGGAGCTGCTGACTGGGATGAAGATTGGGATAAATTTGAAGATGAAGGTATGCCATTAATGAGTTTACATAGGTCCAAGATAGTCTTTGTGATTAGAAACTGCTGGTAACACTTATATTTTTTTATTTAATTTTTCTTTTTTTTCTTCCTGTGGTGAATGGAGTATATTGTCTACTGTTCATAGTTCCTTTTTTTGTCTATATGTGGTCTGCTAATTTGATAAGGGATTGTAACTATTCAGGATGACTCATGTAGAAGTTCACTTTTCAGGATTCACTGTTGTCAAGGAGCTCACTCTTGATGTGCCAAATGTCTTGGCGCCTCCAAAACAGAAATCATCACCAGCTCAGAAAGAAAAAGCTCCCACAGTTGAGAGTCCAACAGCTGCTTCTTCACCTAAAGTTAATGAAAATTCAGAAAAGCCTCAGAGTGCAGATGGAAGGGTAGTTGAAAATGGAGCAGCATATGATAAAAATGAAAATGATTCAGCAAAAAGTGCTCCGAACAGTCCACTTGCTAGCAGTACTGTTGGAAGCCCATCTAGAGAATTTTCTGATTCTAACTTTGGAAAGACTACAGGCGCAGATGCCTCACCCCGTGAGAAGGAATTTCAAAGGTATAGTTCTAGATCATTAGTTCCTACATGTTTAAGATCACCTTGATTGGTTGCGTGTTGATGCACTACACTTAAACAAGCCTCATAGTGCCTTTTACTTGAAATGAGTTATTTATCAACCTGTCTGGCCTTATGGTTTCGTTGCAATTCTCTACATTCTCGTCTTTCCTTAAATTGTGTGTCTCATACTTCTCACCTTGCTATAAATTATCTAATCATTTGCTGTTTCAAGGAAAAAATAATAATAAAAGAAAGAAAAAGAATCTAAGGATTATTATTGTTGGTAGCTAATAGTTAGCTTGATATACATTTTGTTATGTGTCAAAAGATCCTGGTTTTGAAGCCTCTCACCCCTTCCGCGCTTATTTGTTAATTCGCAAGCTGCATGTTTGGGCAATACCCGTATGTTCCCCTATGTCCCCCTATGTATGCTTCTGTGTCCTTCTCCATGTGCAGAATGGAAATGCACTTGAGAGAGGGTGTTAGCTTGATATACATGGTTGGCACATTTGGTAACAAATTAATCTTTTTAATTCTGATGGTTGTCGAACAATCTTTGGACAATTTTGACTGTTGAGTGCAATATAAGCTGCCAAACCTAATCCCATCCTTTGAACACTTAGATCTACGCATGAATTTCATAAAGAACATCTACATGAAAATATGTGGTTCTTAGCAAATATTTAAGCAATTCCTGTACAATATCGAATAGCCATGTCAAATGGCAATGCTTTTAGTCTTCTGATGCTCTTTGCTCTTTGTTTACCTAACTGTTTATGTTTTTTTCTTTGCTGCTGCTTCTTTAGTAAATTGATATCCTTAAATGACCACCAGATCATATTGGTCAAATCTGGCAAGAATCAAACATCTTCTATTATGTAAATCCTGATACCTGTAAAGTTTTTTAAATTCCAAATTTTCATGTGTAGTGATCATGGGGGTCCTGGGTCTGTGTTTGGTGACAAGAATTTTGATGAACCAGCGTGGGGAACATTTGACACTAATGATGACGTTGACTCTGTGTGGGGTTTCAATGCAGTTAGTACCACCAAGGTAAGCCAATATTGTGTTTGTTATTCTTTTTTGTTTGCTTTTGGTATTTAGTGTATTCAGTATTTATCTAATGGAAATCAGTACTCTCTGACCTTTTGTCTATGTTGACTGGATCTTACTGCATGATTGTGGTTAGTACCACCTAGTTGTTTGTGGTGGTGATTTGTCCATTATTTGATTACAATGGTTGCTGCCTCAAGTGATCTAATGCTGACTTGTTCAGTTATTAAATGAGGTTTAGATAATTTTAACAATACTAGGTTTTTTTTTTCTTTTCTTATCATCACTTAGTTTCTAGTTCTGATGGAATCTTCATGTAAAGCACGTCTGTAGTAAGGTCTTTTAACTGACCAATTATGATCAAACCCAGTTGGTTCACTGCAGATACAAAAGGGGTTGTGAAATTGTTCTTGGTGCAGTTAAATGCACATTGAGGAGACCATGATTTTGGCACTTGGACTTGGTTAATCAAAACCATTTTGGGTTTGCAGTGAAATGGGAGTAAATAACATGGTTAAACAATCTAATGCAACTCTCTTAGTCATAGTAAAGAATTGTGGTGAAAGGGAAAAGCAGGTCATATTTTAAGCTAAAACGTGAGCATTTCATTGTCATGTTATTTCTTGTTATTGTTTTTTTGTACATGATGAAAATTTCTCATATTTGGTCCCCACCTAGAATGCATGTATTCTAGGTTCCAGTGAATGTTTCTTTTCTTATGGCTAGTGGTTACTTGCCTCTTTCAAGCTCTCTGTTTTTGCTGTGTTATATTTGTGTTTGTTGTTGGCATGCTGGGTTGTGCTGTAACTGCTCTTAATCATACATGTAGGATATTGATCAGGAGAGTAATAGAGATCACTACTTTTCCGGGCCTGGGGAGTTCGGCCTCAACCCTATCAGGACTGGGTCATCAGCAGGTGGCTTTTCCCAGAATAATCGTCCCTTTACTTTTGACGATTCCGTTCCTAGCACACCACTCTCGGTCTTCAATTCAGGATACTCTCCTCCAAGGTACAAGGATAGTTCAGAACCCTCATTTGACACCTTCTCCAGGTTTGATTCGTTCAGAAGTACACAAGATAGTGGATTTTTCCCTCAACAAGAAACACTGGGAAGATTTGATTCTATGCGCAGCAGTAGAGACTTTGATCAGGGTCATGGGTTTCCAACATTGGATGACATCCCAGATCCTTTTGGCTCTTCAGCGCCATTTAGGACATCACTGGACAGTCAAACTCCAAGAAGAGACTCGGACCCTTTTGGGTCTTCCGGGCCATTTAGGACATCATGGGACAGTCAAACTCCAAGAAGAGACTCAGACCCTTTCGGGTCTTCAGCGCCATTTAGGACATCACTGGACAGTCAAACTCCGAGAAGAGACTCGGATACTTTTGGGTCTTCTCCATTTAGTACATCACTGGAGAGTCAAACTCCAAGACGAGACTCAGACCCCTTTGGGTCTTCAGGGCCTTTTAAGTTGTCAATGGAGAGTCAGACTCCAAGAAGAGACTCTGATCATTGGAGTGCATTTTAGCTGGGTAGTAGTTCTGCTTCATATTTGTGTCTGCTATTCGCCGTTCCAAGCCGTGTTAATGCAGCTTACTGATGAAGATATTGGGGGACTGACGATTGTGTTTTATGTTTTGAAATCACTGAGCTTGTATTGTATCTTTTGTATTTCATATTGTGTATGCGTCTCTTTTTCTTGATTCTTATTCTTTAGCTTGTTGGATGACATGTATCTTCTTTTCGGAAATTTTCCTAGTCCTGTTGAAGCTAAGACCTATAGGTTTTTTTCTTCTCTTTATTACACATTTGATGATTGTATTATTAAACTGAGTTGTGTCTTCCTCTTTGGCCTCTGCTGTAATTTTTTGTTTGATCTCAAATAAAAGTTGTATTTGCCGATTCTCTCTCTCTCTCTCTCTCGTCAAACATGAATGAACACAGTTTTGCTGATGTTGGTTTTAGCTGGATCATTCGTATATTTTGCTCATGCCGTTTCAGTTCTCAAATTCTTTATGGCCTGAAGTATGGATATAAGTTTATGAACAAAAACAATTGACAGAATACATGGGTTGTTGTAAATGAATCTTGAGAATCACTCTCAATGACCCACAACACACAAATGTGTTAATAATCTCTCTTACACAACACATAAAACAGAACAATAATGAGAGGGTTCATTATGAAAATATCAGCATCAATGCATCATCTTTAAGCCAAACACTCGAACATACTCTGCGACAATGAAAACTTCATTTGAACAACTGTGGTAACGTTCTACTAGCATCATATGCCTTTACAGTCTTTGAATGATGATGCCGTTTATGATCAAACTAAGATAACAATCTGTAGGCAAGCAAACGATCTTTTGGTAATGCGGAGAAAAACCATTCAAGCTTGCCAAGGAATAGACGTCAACTCTCAACTCACATATCCTAATCGAATAATAAGTGCCCCATAGTAGGCTTATGGTTAGGGTTCAAGGCTTGAGAAAGGTTTGAGACTCAGATTTAGGGTTTGGAGGCTCAACTCTATTTTGGAATACTAAAATAATTTTCTAATAATTGAAACTATTTAAAAAATATATTCGGAAAGTAAAAATAATTTTAAAGTCCACAAAATTATTTAAGATAAGTAAATATAATTAATTAGTATGTATTAAGTAATTTATGAATTTAATTAAATACTAATTATTCACTAAATAAGTAATAATTAAACATAATTACTAATTAATATAATTAAATACTGCTAAGATATTACTTAATTGCAAATATTAAACTAAACAAACTAATTTTGTATATATATATATATATATAAAAAGTCCACAAAATAATTTAAATAATTAATTACTACTTATGAAGTAATTTATGAAATTAGTAAAATATTTAAATACTAATTATTCACTAAATAAATAATAATTGAAACATAATTACTACTTAAAGTAATTGAAAAAGACTGAGATATTACTTAATTACAAAAAAGAAAACGTCCAAGCGCCCAGACCCGCCTAGGCGCCCGCCTAGAGCCTAGGCAACGATTTAATATCCTCTGTAGTTGATTTCGAGATCTGTCAACTTCCAAAGATGGATTCATTTGGTTCAGCATATTTAGGATTTTCCCAAAGTGATATCATATGCTAAACAAGGTGTACATGATGAGAGCATAGGCTGTTTGCTGTTGCTGCAATATTTTCCCGTTAGGAGCAATTGATTTTCTAATGTTCCGCTTGCAGCCTTTTTCCAGCCTCAGCCTGCTGCAGAAATTATTGCATTCAGGATGGGAGAACTAAGAAGAGGCCTTTCAAGATATCAGGGTATTGGTTTGGATGAGGCACTCATCGAAAAAGCTGGAATGATACTTATACAAGCTGAACGATTTTATTAGGGTGCTTTCAACCATGTGGTGCAGCAGATGGAGAATCATATTGCCTTGTATAACTTATATGCATGATCTAGCAGATTTCCTACTTTTCTTTTCCTTCGATGTTCTCAGCAGTCTCATAAATTGACATGCTTCCATTCCTCAAAATGCAACAATATCATTATTCGCTGTTAAAGGAAAATGTTGATCTATAATGAGCTCTCTGGGAGAAGGGATATGAACACATGACTTCGGGTGTAGGGATAAATTATCTTAACTACTTGCGTTATAAAACCATTGATGCTTTGTTTTTTTTAAGAGAAATGAAAAAAGAAAATGCTTTTCTTAGCAGTTGAAGCAACTTATTGAAGCATTTTGATGCCACCAAACAAGAGACACATCATCCCACATCCCAAGAACCCAAACAGGCCAAAAGCAACTCACACACCATTCAAAACTCCATTCTGTCCTTCCCTTCCCCAACTTCAAAACCCCATAAAACAAAATAAATTATCTCTCTGTTTTTTCAATATTCATTCTTTGTTCTCTGGGCAGTAAAATGGGACGTTGCTTATCTGGCGACTTAGAGCCAGCTCTGGTTGTGAAGAGGAGAACAACTATTATGAGGCATAGACAATTCAACACTTAAGCGAATCAACACTTTCGAAAATGATGGGAGAGCTGGAACCTGTTTTCACTGCACAAGTACCATTTAATTTGCGCTGCTTGCTATGGCTTTTCTCGGCAATCATAGTAGAAGAAGTATATGTCGTCGTGGTGGTGATTGTTGTGCTGCTAATTGTGTTCTCGGTTTGATCTGATTTGGTGAGCTGACGGTCCGGCACACTCATTATTGGGGTTCCTTCTTGTGCATGACAAAGTATCTAACATGGACTCGTCCCCTTTGTTCACCATCATTTCTTTCACCAAATTCAAGCACTTGAACGAACTCTCCTGTAATGTAAGAGCAATAATAGGAACGTGTAATTTATATATGTCAAGTGGAAAAGAAAAAGGTTGTGCTTACTTTATTTACATATTGGCAAGATGATATTAAAGCTTTAAACGATGGAAACTGCAGTTGGATCAGCTTTTGAGAGCTTGTGTAAATGATGGGCTGTCATATAAGTCCAGAAAAGAGAGAAATAAAGGCAGAACTACTCTTATCGAAAAAAGTAGGGGAAAAAATTATTTAAAAAAGAAAAGAAAAAGGATCCCTTATATATATATATATATATAAAATATAGGGAGCTTCCATTGAGAGATCCCTCTGGATTGTATTTCATTAATCCAAACCGTCTATTTTGTAGATACACATTCAAAGATCATCTCTACAAAAAATCATTTGAATCCGATATCATTTGACCATTCAATTGAGTTATTGAAATTTTAGTACTTTCTTGAAGCACCGTGTTCATTGATTTTGTAGGACACAATTGGATGTCGAAATGGTTTCCGATTTGTCTAATTTTTTATAAGGATGATCTATGAATGAAGACCTAAAAAATAGATAGTTTGGATCATTGGAAAAAAAATTGTAGGGTACCCTAAAGAGCGTCTCTCAAATAAAAAAGTCTAGCCGCGCGGCTATACTATTTAAATATATTATAATTAAAAATTTTATTTATAAAATAAAAAATTAAGAAAAAAAACCCCAATATTAAAAAAAGGGTGCCCTAGTAATTTTGAAATTTTGTGGCCACTTCCATTAGTTCATACTTTATAGTTATTAATTTGCTAGTTTAACGTATCTGAACCAAATATTGGAAAGAGAGTAATTTCACAGTAAATCAATCTAAGAGTTCAATTTTGTCTTCTTCTTTTTTCGTGGGAATGTTAGCCTTTGATCTACCTTGTTCACTCGAGTGCTACTAAATTATGTTACTACACACATTATTTATCATAGAGAATTGCATGCTGCGTTAGAGTGATCTTGGTAATTGCTTCACTTTTCAAACACTTTACATGAAGAATTCTACTATACCCATAAAGCTTTGTTTGAAATTATTGTTCTGGTTGGGAAAGAGATTGCAAAATTGTAAAATTGTCATCTTGCATTTTTCTTACAAGAAGTAAAAAATAATCTTAGCTTCTCAAATTCTTTCATAGTTAGTAAAATACGGAACGTGAAAGATATGAATAAAATAAGTACGTGTTTTATTCGACAAAATTTTGGCAAGTTACAACTGAAAAGTTCGGCCATTATATAATATTTAAATATAATATATTTTAATATTTTAATCATACATGAAAATTATGTGTATAATACATGAAGTGTATTATTGAAAATTTTGTAAAAAATACATGTATTAAACATGAAAATTATGATAGTTCAATTTTTTCTCCCTTCCTTTTCTCTCTTCCTCCGATGTGGGATTTCTCACGTCTTTCATTTTTCAATTCTTTCTTGTACCACCCATTTTTTTCTCTTGCCACTTAAGCTACACTACTTTCTCCCCCCTCTGGCACCTTCACTTTGAATTAAGACTAAATATTTACTCATTCATTCATTCAAGGTTTAATAAGTACGATCAAATTCCTTAACAGGGCTCGTTTCCTCCATCTTTGTTGAAGGGCGAACGCGTCGTACTGGTAAAAGAATTTAGCCTACTAACTGAGGTCATTGTAAATCTCTTCTATTTACTTTTACAAAGACTTTTTTGAGAGAAAGTACTTTTACAAAGATTAAGTGATGATTGATGAATCCCTTTCATGAAACCTAAGTAAACTGTAGTTCCATGCAATCTCTAGTAATGGTTGTGATCAGATATAGTCAGAGGCGGAGCCACAGTGGGGTCGTCGGGGTCGGACGACCTCTTGGAAGCCATGGAAATAGCCTTGGAGGTCCCTTGGAGCTGCTGGCGCGACCTCTTGGAGCTGCACACCACGTGGTCGACGGAATGCTTGAAAGAAGAAAACAGAACAGCTGAAGAAGAAGGAGGCGAGGCTGCTGACGCGCATCTTTTTTTTTAAAACAACCTGGGCAAAACGACGTCGTTTTGGCCCAGGGAATATTTTTAAATGACCTGGCCAAAACGACGTCGTTTTGGGCCAGGTCTAAAGAAAAAAGATAATGACCAGCGTATCCTCCAGCCTCTCCTTCTCCACAAATCCGATTCCTCCATTCCAAAACCCCCAATTTTCTCCCAATTTTCTTTTGTTACTGCTTCTCCAATCTGTCCTTATTTCCATTTTCAACATTTAAGTAAATGTCTTTGTCCTTTTACTTTTATTTATTTTTATATTACTCCATTTACTTAAGTTTACAATGTAAATAAGGAAGTACCCCCTATTTGGATTCAAATAAAAATACTAGAAAATCAAATTCTCACCAAATCAAAATATGAAAATTCGGTTTTAGTGCAAAATATGATTTAGGCTAAAAATGATGGCTCATTAAGTCAATATATGCTTCATACTAAAATCCCATAAAATCAAGTTTTCTTATTTGATATGTAGAGAATAAAAGCCGCCAAAAATTATTTTGAGAAAATGATTATTCCGAAAAACCATTTTTCATACTTAGTCAGTATTGCACCTCCGCTAAAAAAATTCTGGATCCGTCTGTGAGACACTATAATTGAAGTCAAAGCAAAATGGCAAATTGCTATCTATTGGCCTCTGGACCATCACAAAGCATTCTTGCCCCCAGTAATAACAAAGTTTACACTTTAATATCTATCCGAAGCTGCAACTTCTGCCACTCTTGCGCCTCAGCTTGTGCATGCCATTCTAATTTTTTTTTTTTTAAATTAAAACTTAGGCAGCAGTTTAATTAAGGAATTTAGGGTAACTACATAATCTCCTATCTCCTCCCTCCCTTTTCTATGTGATCTCAATTAAAATGATGTCTCAAGTTTATGTGTTTAGTGCGTAAGTGAAGTATTAGAGATGTTTATCGCACTAATTTCCAATAACAATGTGAGTTTTTATTTTCATTTTTTTGCATATGTAGAATATATATGTTGATTCCATCCTAAATTTTTTTTTGGGACTTTTACACTAAGACCCCTTGTGTTTCGATTCCTGGCTCCGCCACTGGATATAGTCCATTTCCTTTTTTGTTCTTCCTCTATTTGGTACCATACCACCGCCTCTTTTCATATATTGCTTGCATCACATCACCTTCTGATACAGAAGGATTCTGATTATTGGTACTGAGTGTTGTATTTCGAAGGAGAGTTTCCAATATACAACCATCTTTGCATGCAAGAAGCTTTACCAGTAAAAAAGCATACACAACACAAATCAGAACAATAATGAGAGGGTTCATTATGGAATATATCAGCATCATCTTTAAGCCAAACACTCAAAAATATTTTGGGCCAATGCAAACTTCATTTTAACAACAGGTAACATTCTACTAACATCATACCTTTACAATCTTTGAATGAGGACGCCATTTATGATCAAAATAAGATAACAATCTGTAGGCAAAGGGAACATCTTTTGGTAATGCAGAGAAAAATCACTCAAGCTAGCTGAGGAATAGACGTCAACTCTCAACTCACATATCCTATACTTTGATGGAGAAAATCTCTTGCAGAGCAGACCAAGTTCCTGAAAGCGCAAGAACAAGTCCTAACACCAAAATGCTTACATCTGACGACCATTGTCTCCACCCCATCTCTCCCTTGAAAACCATCAAGTGAAACAAGGTAGGCAAAACAAACCCCAATGCACAGCACACACCACTCCCCACCAAAGACATGAAATCAGCAAAATTGGGGACCAACAAAGCCACCAAACTCACAGCCAAAACCAGCACCCACCTCAACCATAAGCAATACCTCCCGCTCCAAAACCGCCTCTCCATGATCTCATAAACCGGGTGCATCATTATAGGCAATGTGAAGAATAGATTCACCACAAGACCAAGCTTCACCAGAGTGCTGATCACGCCTGCACCATAATTAGCTGTGATCATGTCCTTAGTTTCTTCCCCAAAAGCAAAGTAACCCAAAGCTCCAAAGCTTCCATACATCAAAGAAATGAAAGTCATGGTCCAGCCCAGGATCCACCCAAACTTGTCCTTGTCTTTGGTCTCTGTCTCTAAAGGCAAAACCATCCCAACCCCTTCAAACGAGTACACAGCCACACCCAGGCCATAAAAGAACAGAGAAAGGTCCCCAAAGGCCTTCACTTCAGGCCTTTTTGCCGCCATAACCATCACATCCTCCACCATCACCACGCCCATTGCTCCAAGATCAATCACATCAGCAAAAATACTCAAAGGGGCTAAATGGGTCAACGTTGCAATTGAATTCAACCCCAATTGGAACGGAAAACACCCCCAAATGTAAAAGCTTTTTGGTGCCAAACCCAAAATCTTGGGTGTCAAAACGGTTGCTGTGGGTGCATTTAGCAAATGGGCCATTGTATTACCAATAAAAATGAGATAGCCGACGCAAAACCCAGCCTGAGCAAGAATGATAAGAACATCGACCACCAACCTCCCTACAGTGCCACAAACGGCGAAACCCAAGTCCCCAAAAGATGGGATCTTCGTGCATCCATTGGAAGACTCAAGCTTTCTTCGGGTGTAGACCAACAGCATCATACAATGGTGGGTAAGAAACGCCACAAGCAAAAGGGTGAGGAGGCTCATGAGCCACCCAGTGCGCTTGAAAGAATAAGGCAAGCCCAAAACGCCTGCACCCACAATAGCGATGAAGACATTGGCAAAGGTCTTGCCTTGGGAAGACAATGGCTTCGGGTCTCCGATCAGCGGTGTGTTTTCTGATGGGGCTGGTGGTCTGAGGCGCTGAGACGACGAGCTTGATTCTTTGTCAAAACCCATCTTGATCCTTTGTTTTTATTTCGACCCGGATTAACAAAGATCAAGAACACAAGCTTCCAGATGGGTTTTGGTTTGATTGGCGATTTTGATGAGAAATGGCGAGATGGATGAGTACTTTTTCTTTAAGAGATTTATATGTTTGGTATTTGCCAAAAAGTTGGGAAGATCGGAGGAGTTTAGGCTGTTTGTTTAATTTGTAATTGTTTAAAATTTCACCTGAAAACTGCATTGGATAATTTGGCTTATGATAGAAATAGAAGGAAATTAATTTTATTTTATCTTTGATTCGGCAAGAAAATGAAAACATACCCGTAATAACTTTGCCAATTATATTAGCAAACAAAACTAATGATTATGAAAAGTTAGAAAAAGAATCCTCCATGCATATATGATGATAAGTGTCATAATTCAATGTTCACGGTTCAATTGTGATTTGTAACTTTTTTGTTTTTTTTTTTGGTTTTTGGGGTCACGGTTGAGAAGGAGAAGGGATATTCTTGCTCTCTATGTGTGACATGAAGGATTAAATCGCATACTTCTAACTTGCATATCGACAATTTTACCGTTGAATTAAGACCCTATCAACAATTACGAGGAGTTGTAATTTACTATGCATGCATTATGGTTTAATATTATTCGAGTGCTTCTTTCAATACTAGGCATCTATTTTTTTTGCATTATCAAAGACAATGATCAAGTTATTTGAACTTCATTTTAATATTTGAAAGAAAATTACAACTAAATTAAGATGTCGTTGATGCATAAAAACTTAAAAAGACACGTAGGTTTCAATCATAGATACACTGGTGGATAAAACAAAAACAGGTACTCAAGATTCAAGATTATAGCCCATTATCAAAACACAATAAAAATTGAAGATTATATCCCATGATTTTTATATTATGAGATGATAAGATAAGGTTGACAAATTGGAAACATATATTTTTTTGGGTAAACAAATTGGAAATATCCTTCTCTTATTGGATTTGTTGTAATCCAATACAAACTCATTGTGGGGTTACTACCAAAAAGCCCAAGCTCCTTCCTTTTCTTTCTTTCTTTCCTGCCAGAAAGCCCATTTCTTCTTCTGGTCCAAAAAGCAAAAAAATTGGACAGTGTCAGTGAGCAAGAACAGCCGGCGCAGGTTAGCAAGACATGGAACTTGACTAACAGTTATTGCCCAGTCAAGTAAACGCGATCAAAATTGACCAAACACAGAAATTTGGGATCCTTGTAATTTCATCTGATTCATTTTCATGTGTAATTTGTGAGATCGGAAGCTGCCGAAAATTTGTTGGCACCAAAAAGAAAACAAAAATGAAGAAAATTCTCTGCGATTTTCGGTTCCTCCTATTTCTCGCTGCTGCGGCGTTCATCTATATCCAGGTGCCCCCAAAACCTTAATTCTCTCGCTGCTGTTTGTTTCAAATTCATCAATCGTGTTGTTCATATTGAGATGCATGTACAGTTGTTGTAGTAGCTGAAATGACAACCAGTTTTCTTCTTCTTGTGTTTTTTGTAATTTTTTTTTCGCTTATAGATGCGGCTTTTCGCGACGCAATCACAATATGCTGATCGTCTTGCCGATGCGGTATGTCTAAATTATGAGTCAGTTGTTGTATCAGAGTGGTTCATGAAAAATTGGTCTACAATATGAACTCTTCTCTTTTTCATTTGATGATAAATGGGAAATGGGCTGTAGATATCAGTTTATTTTAGCTCATGTAGCTTTTTCTTAGCTGCAACATTACTTGGTAGGATTATTATCTCGTGCTGGTTCATTGTCGACTTGAACAAATTGAGCAAAAGAAGAAAGTTTGACACAGCTTCAATCTAAATGTTTAAAAGATTCTGTTTATTTTCCTTTCTTCGTGAACCAAATGGCTTATTTGCTGCATTGGAAGCTTCTTGTGGGTTGAAAGTTCATTACTTTATTTTGAATCACACATTTACTGTTCTTTTACAGATAGAGTCGGAGGACCAATGTACATCTCAATTGAGAACACTAATTGATCAAATAAGCTTGCAACAAGGACAAATTGTTTCCCTAGAAGGTGTGATATATTTCAAGCACTCGAGTCTTTCATATATTTTTCTATATATTATAGGGCTTACAACTATCCTGTCTTCACTCATGTACTAATGAGTAAGCTTTAAATTTATCAATCATGTTGGCCATTTTTTGGCAATTTCTTCCAGTTGTACTGTCTGCATCATGCTGTGAGAATTTTTTTTGAGCAGTGAATTACTGTTATATATCTTATAGTAACAACATGGTTTCTGGAGGTCTTTATCCCCTTTATGGCTTCTTTGCCAAAACATACTAGGGATATCCCTTCTACTGTAATTTATCTGGATTGAGTCTGATTATTGCATTGATTGTATAGGCCTTTTGTTACTCTTTGGTAGCCGGTTAGTTTTGATGGACTTCTTGTCCATCTTTTCTGTATCCTTATTTTTATAAAATTTTGATTTCCTTTTAAAAAAATTATGACACTAGACTGCTGCAATTGTAGAAGAAAAGCAACGGCTAGAGCAAGAGTGTGGACAACTGAAGGTCCTTGTTCAAGAACTTGAAAGTATGTGCTTATCAGAAAAAATCTTTTTCTTAAAATGATATATAAAAGCACCTGCCAGTTACTTATTTTCTATTCTTGGAAGATGTCTTGTGTGCTTTAACATTTTTTATTTTCCGAAGCACTTTTTTTTCTTTTCAGCCATTCCAAAGAACTTAGGATAACTCCTCTGTTGTTGTTGTTGTTGTTGTTGTTGTTGTTTTTTTGTTTTTTGTTTTTTTTATAAATTTATAAATTTATTTTCAGGGAAAGGCCTAGGTAGGCTGATTGACAGAGAACAGGTGCAGATGAACGTGTTACTTTTGGCTTTCCTTCTTCCTAGAAATCATGACTTGTCATTATTTTTAACCATTATTTCTAATGAACTTGTTAGGTGCCAGTGGCAGCAGTTGTAATTATGGCATGCAATCGTGCTGATTATCTGGAAAGAACTGTTAAGTCAGTTTTAAAGTAAGTTTCATGTTCTTGTCAAATAAAAAGAAAGTTTTGTGTTTAGACCATATTGCACAGTGCAGTTTTTTTTTTCATTTGTACACAGTTGAGCTGACCCACTAGCCTAATTCTTCAATTATATAGATATCAGAGTTCTGTTGCTTCAAAGTTTCCTCTATTTGTCTCCCAGGTATCTATGTGCTTAATCTTTCATAAAATACTATGAGTGTCATTGACATTCGTCATTCTTTAGCAGTGATCTAGGAGAGAATCAATAGATAAACATGGTAACTTCATTTTTCTCAGGATGGATCGCATCCAGCTGTCAAAGAGAAGGCTTTGAGCTACGATCAGCTTACCTATATGCAGGTAAGTTGTACATTTTTAATCAAATTGTATATTCTTGGGAATATCTTAGACGTTTGCAACACCCCAGGACAGCCGTAAGTCCTGACTTCAATTCATTGCAGCATTTGGATTATGAACCAGTTCATACTGAAAGACCTGGGGAGTTGATTGCGTACTACAAAATTGCACGTAAGGAATCTGTGAGTCTTCTGTTAAGCATCTATTAGCTTCAGTACTAAATCCCTGGTTTTTCCATAGGTCATTACAAATGGGCATTGGATGGATTGTTCTACAAGCATAACTTCAGCCGAGTAATCATACTCGAAGGTGAAAACAGTGTTCCTTGGATTATCCTGTCAGTTTGCCTTTCTTTCCGCTTTATTACAAAGCTCTAAGTATGCTTTGCTGATACAATCCATCATATTTGAACACAGATGATATGGAAATTGCTCCTGATTTTTTCGATTACTTTGAGTCAACAGCTGCTCTCCTTGACAAGGATAAGTATGTCCTCTAGATGAACCTGAGGTCTTGTACCTTGAATACTATGTTGTTATAAAATTATTCCAGGCTCCAGGAATTCTGGTTTTCCTCACTTTTTTTATATTTAAACTGTGGTAGGTCTATCATGGCTGTTTCCTCGTGGAATGACAATGGGCAAAAGCAGTTTGTGCATGATCCTAGTGAGTTGTCATCAATTTTTTTAGTTTATCTTCCTTATATTGAAATCAAGCTTAGGGCAACTTTTATTTCTCAAGAACCAATTGAGATCTCTGTCCCACCCTTTGTGGGTGTGCTCTGTGATTGCATGAAGCAAATATGCTTGTTTTTGTGGGAGGAGTGATGCTTATTTGGGTAAATATATTGTTTGTTCAGGCTCCTGGATCATGTAGGTTTGTAACATATTGTTCCTATCTTTAAGGTTTGACAATGATCTTTGCATCTAAGTCTTTATATACATTTATCTAACATGGTCAATTAATATACTGGCAACATGTTTACCATCCCCATCTCTCGCGCTCTCTCATCCTTTCCCGTCCCTCCTCTTTGAGCTCGTACGCCATATTAATTGTTTTGACGTTATGGTACAATCGTCTTAACAAGAAGTTAATGCATTATCAGTATTTACTGCTAATGTTTGGACACAAGACATTGACACTTTTCAGAACCATTATGCTCTCTGATCTGCTGTCTGATCCACTCTGCAGAAGTACTTTATAGGTCGGATTTCTTTCCTGGACTTGGGTGGATGCTGGCTAGATCCACATGGGATGAGCTATCACCAAAGTGGCCAAAGGCATATCCTTGTTGCTGTAGTGAATTTTGTTTTTATTATACTTCTCTATGTTTTTCAATGCATTTCTTCTAAATGTTTTCTTTCACAATGCTTCACTTACTGGGATGATTGGTTGAGGTTAAAAGAGAATCATAAAGATCGACAATTTATTCGGCCAGAAGTTTGCAGAACATATAACTTTGGTGAACATGTATGTATTCTCACTTTTCTTGTTCATTACCTCCCAACCTCTAGTGTGTGCAAGCAGTCACGTTCAATTCAGGGATTTGTATTGATTATAATGCATTTCTGCATCAATTTTAATTTAATATCTATTAGTGATGCTAGAAAATCTTATGCTAAAGTGGTTCTTTGTTCATTGAAACTGCAAAGAATTTTAGAGGAATAACTTCTTTCACTCTAATTAACTCAATGCAAATGATATTTTCTAGTAAACTGGGATAGCCCTTCAACAAAATGGCTTCTTTGCCCCCTTGTGGGACTGAAATTTTTAATGCCTCAGCTCTCACGTCTTGTGCTTTATGCAGGGTTCTAGTCTGGGGCAATTTTTCAAACAATATCTTGAGCCAATCAAGCTGAATGATGTCCTGGTAATTACCAATCTCACTTCTGTATCATTCCATCTAGTCTAATTTTGTCGTCTCCTTATTCAACATTTTCACACTGCATTTTTCTTTTCTATCTTCGCTTCCAAAGGTTGACTGGAAATCAATGGATTTGAGCTACCTGATGGAGGTAATGCGTGCTTTGATACATTTGGTTTGAATGTTGCTTTCATTACATCTTTAATCAATACATCTTTCAACCTGTTTGTAGGACAAGTATATAAAGCACTTTGCTGATATTGTGAAAAAGGCTAAACCCATTCGTGGAACAGATCTTGTACTAAAGGCACGTAACATTGGTGGTGATGTTCGCATACAGTACAATGACCAGCCAGACTTTGAACGCATTGCACGTCAATTTGGTATTTTTGAAGAGTGGAAGGTGAATTTTCCTTGTTATTGAGTAACTTTCATTTAACTATTGTTGAGTTTAGGAAAAGCCTATTTGATTTTATGAGACTGGAGAATCTTCGTTAAGTCCTGCCTTCATTAATTATGCAAGTAGCTCTGAAAATAAAATAATCCATAGTGCTAGCTATACCCAGTTATTAATTTATTTATTCATCCGGATATGTTTGTTTATGTTTCCTATAATTTTTCAGGATGGTGTACCAAGGACAGCATATAAAGGAATAGTTGTTTTCCGATATCAAATCCCACAACGTATATTCCTTGTTGGTCCAGGTTCTCTCGTGCACCTTGGAGTTAACGATTCTTGATGCAAAGATGAGGTTGGTTTTGCCTAACTTGCTGCCATTTCTTGGCTTAAAATTGTAGACACCGATTTGATATTTGGGATAACATAAATAGCATCTGAGATATTTCTCCTCTTGGTTAATGGACAGAGTTCAAAAGGACAAAGTTTTGTTTCCAAGGTTCAACATTGAGGTTCAAGAAAAACATATTTCTTGAAGCACAGGGGTAACTCATACCAATAGAGAATCAATGTTAACTTAAACCTAGATGAGCCGGCTGCGTTTTTTTCTTGATTTGAGTGTTGCAGCTGGCTATGTCCTCACTCTCTTCTGTAATTTGACTTCAGAAACTTTGTAATTGTTGCATTCAACAAGTAGCAAGCTCCCACATCTCTGTTGTCGCCATACGTCTACTACATATTTGGTGGGTCGTTGCAGAGCAAGAAAGGCGATGCTATCATTGTTCTTGTTACGTCTCAAATTTATTATATTATTGTTTCCTTGATGGATACCATACCTTCTGAAGGAACTTGTAACCTTAATCCCTGATGTACGATATCTTGAAAGATCTAATCATGTAGCATACGAGAAAACCAAAATGTTCTGATATGAAATGAATTATGTATGTTGATTGATCTTGATAAAATTTTATATTGCTTTTGCTTACAGATGATACTACTTATACTCCCATCTTTTTCTTTCTATATTTGAAAATTAAATGAAAAAAATACACAAAAAGAGCACCTTCAACCCTCTCTCCTTCTACGATATCAACACTATATTGTTTATTGGGTGCTAGGAGCATTGGGCAACTTACCTAATCCGCATCCACCGGTTAATTCTATGATTAGTTCACGATAATTTGGATTATGGTGGTACACAATTTGATTGGACCATATTCTCCCTTTCCTTTTTATGAAGGTTTCATTATTTGAAATTAATAGGTGAATATCAAAATACTACAAAAAATATTCTAATAAAACAACCAACTGATTGTATAAAATAAAAAGAGATATTTAGGAGGGTGTATTCAATTAGGATTTTAAAAGACTATTTAAGAATGTAATGACTTATAAGATTTTTTTTTAAAGATTTTTTATACTCGGGATTTTTTATGTTCGGATTTTAAATATTTATATCATAAGAATTTATAAGATTTGAAAGGACCACATGGACTTTTTATTTGTACGATGCTAACCAACCAAGTTGGATGATGAGCAATGTCTAGTTCAATGATGCACGAATTCTTCAGGAACAGTCTCTACAACCCAAGCTTTACAAATGATGGTGGAATTTATCCTTCCCAAAGGTTTTATGATAGGTATAAGGTTACTAGGCTGCAGACACTTGGTTCAAATAATGGAATGGAGCCATAAATATAAAGCCAATGAAAGTCAATTGCTTAAAGTTGTGGGCACTTGCATTAGCAATAACATAAACGGGATCAAATGGAATGGAACAATAAATAAAAGCAAACATTCAAAGTTAAAAGAGTCAATGAAAAAGATAACAAAGAAACACAATTTTAACAAAGAAAAGTAAAATTCAATAAAGTTTTCCCAATCTTTTAATAGCCAATTTGATGTAGCTTCATGTCCTCTTAAGTAGCATTTCTCCATATATCTAAAGCTATGGTAGCCCTCCATGCATTAGCATTTTCTCGTTGCTGCTCTTAGGTTTGAACAATAGGTTCCAAATTATCTTCTTCATTAATTGGTAATACTGAAGATGAAGATTCGTCTACTGGTTCAATTGGAAATTCATCAGAATGACACTCTTTGCGACGAAAGTTATGTAGTGCTACACATGCTAACACAAGCTCTGCTTGTGTCTTAAATGGAAATGGAGGCGCTGTGATAGGACCCGCCCCGAATTTCCCAGAACCCGAGATGAACCCTGTGGAATTCCCGACATCACCCTAATGTCGGGCCCACTTCCGAAAACTATATCCTCTTTCTCTTAAAAGAGTAAGGATACAGGACTTTCTACCGAAATTTCGGCAGAGTCTCCCCTATAAATTGAACAAGCCCAAAATTCCAACCTGCACCAAATCACAATTTATATATCCCAACCAACAGCACGCACAAGATAACAACATGCAATTCTTTTAATTGGCCTCCAGCCTTCAAATACTTCAAAACAAACTACCAACACATTCCTTAATCCAAATAATAAATTCAACGCACTTTTATGAAGGCCAAAAGAAATTTCTATCATTTAACTTTCCCAAACATTTAGCATACGAGGCTCCAACCTCTTAACACGACTGCATCACACTTTCACCCAAGAAAACCCTACTTCCATTCCAACTATCTTGTAGGACCCACTTTCACGTGTTGTGTAATAGCTATATCTTGAAGCCTGTACAAATCATGATAATATAATATATTGCTTATTGTTGAAGCTTGTACAACTACAAATCACCAAAGCCAATGTGGGCAACAACAGCTAACCCATCCAAACCATAAGACGCAGACCATAAACAACAATTGTTTGATTCTCCCATACACCCCCCGTATATAATACATGATAGCAACATGGCATATAGCAAATATACAGACAATAAACGCAAGAAGACACAACATGAGAAGGAAGTAATACCTTGTTCACGAAGAACTATTCAACTTCACGAAGAGCTGTTCAACTTCTCTAGCAGAAAAAAAAAAAAAATCTCACGTGAAAAGTCTGATGGGTTAGGGTGAGATTTTTTATAGGGTTTGGTATTTATACCTCCCACTAAAAAGTCACATAAATTCCTAATAAAAAAAAATCCATCGAAATTAGCAAGTTTTTGAATACCAAAAGACTTTTTGTTACTTGTTTAAAGTCCTGATTGAATACCACTAGATTTGGACACCCTCTTTAAAATATCCTAATAGTTCTGATTAAATACCACAAGACTTATTTAGATTGCTTAAAAGTCTTAATTGAATACCACAAGACTTATTTATCCCAAAATAGTCTTTTAAAATCCTAATTGAATACATTCCCTTAGTTATATATCCATTCTTAGCACTAATAATATAGATAATTTCTACACTATTTAATTTATATAAACCAACTTAAAAAATAACAGCTGGCCCTATTGAATTTAATTTTGACTATTAAATTACTTTGATGCTCTATTGGGTGTTTTGAGTTTTATTTATTTATAAGGTTTTGGGGTTGGATTTCTTTTAAGAAATTGATGGCAGTTTTGTAATTTATAAGAAGTTAAAAGCTTCTTTATCATGTTGTAAATGAGTTTTGTATGTGTTTCTAAAGTTTATTTAATATGAAGTATTTTTGTAATTTCGGCTTTTATATTGAGTATAATAGTGAATCTCCCAAATAAAAAATATCTGATACGACCTGTCGTTCTTAGTAAATTGAAATCGTCGAACCTAAAAACCTAACTCTCTTCTTCATTCTCCCCTCAGTTCCGTTCCCGCCGAACCTTCACCTTACCAGCAGCAGCAACCATGGCCTCCATTCTCTCCAAGAAGCAAAAGCAGAAGCACAAAAGCACAAAGCTCTCCGACCTCAAAACCCTAGGCCACGACCTCCTCTCCTCCAGAGCCCACGTCAACAACCTCCCTAAGCTCCTCTACTTCGTCTCCCCAACCTCGCCTCCCCAGTTCGTTCTCGAGTCCCTCCTCTCTCTCCAGGCCTTCTTCACCCCTCTCTTGCCTGACCTTCCTTCCTCTTCTTCCAAGCCTTCCGCTTCCAATGCATCCCAGGACGACCCTGACTTCATCTACCGGACTTGGCTCCGGTCCAAGTTCGACGAGCTCGTCGAGTCCCTCATCCAAGTCCTGCTTTCTCCTCAATCTGATGAAACTCTCAAGGTCAATTTTCTATTTGTTGAATTTCCTTTCTTTTTTGTTTTGTTTTGTAATTATAGATTTTTTTCCTTCTAAATTGTGCTTGCTGATACTGTGATTAGGAGGTGGTGTTGGACACACTAATGGAGTTTGTGAAGTCTGGAAATGGGGGAAGGTTTCACTCTGCTATTTACCATAGGTTGCTTCGTAGTATTGTAAGTTGTACCCGTTTCTCCAAAAGCTTGATTTGATTTTTTTTTTTTTTTTCTAATGATATTGAAAGAGTAAGTTGTAATGTGGTGTTCTCATCGATAGGTTTACTCTACGACACCGGATAATTTCTTGTTAGACGTGTTGGCATCCAAGTATTTCAAGTATATTGACGTCCGGTAAGGTCACATGGCTTCTATTGTTTACTGGAGGGGAGGCTTTAGTCGGGAAAGTTTTGTTATGTTTACTTAAAAAAGTATTGTAATTGTTGTATTTGTTTGTTGCAGTTATTTTACCTACATCAGCTTGGAAAAACTTTCTAGAGTTCTAGATGCAAAAGACATTTCTGGTACTTCCTGCTGTGGTCCTTGCTGCAAGTTTCATAATTTTTTGTTTCATCTTTTTTGGGGTGGTTGTGGTGGTGTTATCTTAGTTAGTTTATTGTTTTGTGTCTCCTTTAGATGACAGAAACCTGAACACAGACGGCAACGATGGCGGGCATCCAAGGGAAAGGTTAGTATAATCAACAATGTTATCACTTTGGAAATTTCTATTCCATTTTTTTTCTCATTGCCTCTTTCTATTACATGACCCCAATGTATCATATATATGCTAATGTTTATATTTCTTAGTATGTTGATGCTGCAAGATGTTAGCTTTTGATTTCTTAAAATCATTTACTGGCAGCATGGATCTATTAATTCGCAAGATTCATTACATAATGTCACACATCCCATCTGTGGAAGCTTCAGTTGAGAAAACTGGTTATGACATGTGGAGTGGATCAGGTGAGTGTTCCCTGCCTTCACAAATCAGTGCTTCAACAGTTAAACTCATACTTTACTTTGGTGGAAGATATCATTATTGATTACTGATTAAGATTCTTGTGTAAAGGTGATGATGGAGATATTTCTGGGAATCTTAAAGCAGAAAATAAACAGCACATGACTGAGAAGCACAATGATAAGGCAAGCTATCAATTATCTTCAGAAGATGATGTTTCAATGCAACTATCAAAATTGTTTGTGCATTCATTCACTAGATTATCCTCTTTATATTTCTATGAGATTAACATTCCACATTCTTTTTGGATAATGTCTTCAGGTGTTGACTGCAGCCAGTATTGCCAAAAAGATGAAATTGAAATTTACTAAAGCATGGTTATCATTTCTAAGGTTACCACTTCCACTTGATGTGTACAAGGAGGTAAGGCTCATACCTGCCACACCATGATTTCTCATAAATGTTGTGCCCGAACAAAATTTAATTGGTTTTTTTATTGTTATCTTAATGTTGTGACTTGTGACGCTCAGGTTCTTGCCACTCTTCATCAGGCAGTCATTCCTCATCTATCTAACCCAGTCTTGTTATGGTAAAGTTTCTTACCAAATACGTTTATGTATATTTTTCCAATTTGTTCTTTGTGACTTTTAGTCTATTCATTGCTTGACAACATGCAGCAACTTCTTTCTAAGATCATGACATTTCATTTATTGACAATGTGCAGTGATTTCTTAACTCGGTCATATGACATTGGTGGTGTTATCAGCGTCATGGCTCTTAGCGGCCTCTTCATCCTCATGACACAATATGGTTTAGAGTACCCCAACTTTTATGAGAAACTTTATGCACTACTGGTTCCTTCTATTTTTATGGCAAAACATCGATCAAAGTTTTTTCAGGTAATGCTGATCATTACTGCGGTAACAGTTGTTAAAGATATACTTCTATAACACAAGGCATGTATATCTATGTATGAGTGTGAGTGTGCATTTGTGTTGTTTTACAATTATCAGCAATTAAAATAGAAAGTGAATCTTAACATATGATAATATATGCTTAGATGTGTGTGTTATCTTTAAATCCATTGAGTTTTGCATCAACTAGACTGGTTATATGTTATCATTAAAACACTCATTTACTCATTAAAAAAAGAAAGCTAAGGGGATTTGACAAAGTCATTCAAGTGTAATGACCTTCCCATCAGTTGTGGCTTTGATTGATTTCTTCACAGAGTTTAAGTTCTGGAGCTTAATGTACAGGAAACTCTGTTGCAATAATGCATCATGAACATGAGGTTGCTTGCTTGGTCTGCATAATTGTTGAACACCCGGTTTAAATGTTTATGTTGGATGAATCAGTAATTTTATACTTGTGCTATTTAATTTTGCAGCTTGTGGATGCTTGCTTAAAATCACCACTTCTTCCTGCATATTTGGCTGCTGCTTTTGCTAAGAAATTGAGCAGGCTGTCTATTTCAGTTCCTCCGTCTGGAGCGTTAGTTATTATTGCGTTAGTTCATAATCTTCTACGGAGACATCCTTCAATCAATTGCTTGGTGAATCGGGTATCCGAACAATCTTTAATTGTTTCTTTGTCAATATATTCACTATCCTTTTGATCTGAAAGCAAGTGAGGTCAGCTGTACTGTTCTTTGTCAAAGTATTCATTTCATACATGATACATTTGAGGAGACTACTGTTTATGCAGGGAGGTGGTGGTGCAACTGTGAAAGATGATCCAGAAACAGAACAGAGGGTTGCTGATGGTGTAGATGACACTGCAACTGCTTCAGCAGATAAGTCAGTCAAAAAACCAGGCGTTGACCCTTTTGATAATGAACAAAGTGATCCTATAAAATCAAATGCCATGAGTAAGTGTCTTTTCCCCCTAAATGTGATTTCTGCATGCCAAATACCTGCATTTCATGTAAGCCATGAATGTGGTATACTTGCTCAAATTTTATTTGAAAGCAGACAACACACACAGTATTGCTTTAATTATTAAATAAATTTTACTTTTACATATTGATGAGATGTTTTTGAACAGGAAGTTCACTCTGGGAGATTGATACCCTCCGTCACCACTACTGCCCTGCTGTATCAAGGTTCATGCTTGAGTCCTGATCATGTGTCATTATTTATGGTCCTTGTACCTTTTGATTTTTCCTGATGTCCTTTTTCTTTGTTAGGTTTGTTTTGTCACTTGAGAATGATTTGACAGTCAGAGCCAAAACCACTGAAATTTCTGTTGGAGATTTTAGCTCAGGCTCATATGCAACAATATTTGGCGAGCAGGTATTAATATCATGTCTCATGATTCATGGAGTAATATAATAAATTTAATGCATTTTTCAATTTTATATTTTAAAGGATAGAAAAAAAAAGTTGTGGAAATTTGGTACTTACAATAGTTTAGTTCCATCTGTGGACGTGTTGATTCCTGTACATTTGGTCATCTGACAGCAGGCTACGTTTGGCAATTTTTATTTTATTTTCTAAATAGTTGTGGCCTCTTGTATATTCATTTTTGGGACCGTTGTAGGACAGAGTACATATATTTGTTACTTTGTCAATCTGTCTGATGTCCAAGGAAATGCCTTGCAGTTTTCTTTATATAGTATGTGATTTCACTGATCTGGCGACTGCATTGACTCTATTTTGCAGATGAGACGAAGGATAAAATTGGCTCCACTTGCATACTACAAAGTACCCCCCACCTCTTTGTTCTCGGAGTCCGAGTCTGAGTTTCTTGGTTGGACGTTCAAATGTGAAGACAGTAAGCGAAAGAATGACATCAATGATGAGAATGGGAAAATAGATCGAGAATGTGATCATAATTCGGTAAAACGACAACGAGTTGAGTGTTCATAACCAAAGTGTGCCATCCCTCTCTTTTGCCCTTTCTTTCAAGGGGGCAGGATTATGCTCGTGAATTATAAGATTTGAGCAACAATTTTGGGGTTCTTAGGTGTATGTTTCCTCGTTTGTTGATTTTGTATGCTGCAACAAATTTTGAGCTCCAAAAAAGGGTAAAAAGAAAAGCTGCATCAGATTTTGAATTTGACCTACTATTTTGTTGGCAAGTTATCTTTGTACATGCATTTTTGTAGCCAATAATTTACCTTAATGATGTGATCAGGCGTGTTAATTTAATCATTTTTCTGTGTGCATTGTTTGGAAGGTGGTTTTACCCAAGAACAGCATAAATGCTGTTCGCATTGGTTTTCTTGGCACATCAGACTCTGCATTGCGCGTAGTCGGTTTTGTGAGGCCTTTTTCCATGCTTTTATCTTAAGGCTCCTTCCCAACTGTCTATTACTTTTTTTTTTAAGACTCAAATGCATGAAATTTCCTCAATTTTTAATTTCCCACAAATAAATTCAGTTTCTGACCCACATTTCATTTCACGTAAGCCAAATCAGAATCATGTTTGTTATCAAATTGAAACTCAGCCGATGATCTACTTCGAACATTGCTGGTTTGGTCACAGGTTTCTTTTTTTTCATCTTTTTGTTCTCAAGAGTGGTCAGCTTATGGAGTCTTTCAGCAAGAGCGCATTCCATCTCCGCCATCTGACCTTAAAATTGTCCACCATTGTAACCGGCTCTGATACCAAACTAAGACCTGTCTTTGTCCTACTACTCCTCTAAATTGAAGTAAGACATGAGAGAGAGGAGTGAGAATTCATAGGATTAAAACTCTTTCATATAAATTTGGGTTTTGTGATTTGAGATGGGTGGATGGGTTACCAAGACATGGGAGAAACTGATTTATTTACCACGACATTATGTACAACAAATTTCACTCAAAAGCCAACAAATTAATCAGATCCCAAGACAGATCAAAACATGCAATGGTTGGCTGTTGATGACATTATGAATAAATAAATAAAAAGAGAAAAATGACCGATTCTTCAATATCATTCACAAATGTGATTTAAGCATCAAATCTGATCATGATTTACTATCTAGTACTTCCTGCAGAAGATTCAGACCTTCTGCTGATATACTCCTTTTGAATTTCAATTTCGGGATCTCAAGCAAAGGTGGTGGGTCTGAGGAGAAGCATACCACAACTACTGTCAGGTTGTCGCAGGTATTGCGCTTGAGTGCCTCCCTAACCAGCTCTCTTGAGCATCTCTCAGGATCATTGTGAAGCATTAATTCTTTCCTTGCAATTGTAACTGCGCATTGGCTGCTCATCACATCCCACAGCCCATCACAGCCTAGGATCAAGAATTCATCTTCCTCACTCAGAGTTGTCTCCTCAAGCTCCGGCTCTGCACTTAAGGGACAAGAGGAACCTTTGGAGCCTTTCATGTGCCAATCTCCAAGAGCTCGTGCCACCGATAATTGACCGTTAAGGTAGCCATCATAAACCACACCTCCCAGTTTCTCAATTCTTACTCTTTCTGAGGCACAATTGGGTTTATGGTCTTTGGAAAGCTCAACTGCCCTACCTCTTCTTCCCAGCACAGCTCGGCAGTCCCCGGCATTGGCAATTAGCATCGTCCTGAAAGAAGAAATCACATGTAAATCATGATGTCATCTATAAAGACATAACCGACGTGGAGAGAACTTTGTGGTTGAAATCCTACAGGAAGTGGCCAGTACATTCTTCTACTATGAAAAATTCATCCAGTTTACCTGGTCAAGACCATAAAGCTATGCTATAGCCACATATCTATTGCACCATGGAAGGTTTCACAAATGTGACCCCCTGCCTCCCACAGATAAGATTTATTACCAAGCTACAAGCCTCTATATTGATGCCAAGAAATGTCTTTGAAAGCATTCCTGGATGAAATCACCATGGATGACATTGGTCGATGAGAAATGATGAAATTTTACCCGTGGATTTGGCACAATAAGATAGCTTATAATATATAATGATGTCATAGAATTTAAATTGTCAGATTAACCATTCTACATCATATAACTCCATAAGCTTCAAAATCTTTGTTACCATTTGTTCAAAAAAATAAAAAATAAAAAAATTCCAAGAAAAAGAGAAAAAATTTTGGTACACCCACAACGGAGTCTGACAGAGCATAATGCAGATACGTAAACTAACAAACAACCATTAGAAGAGTGACTACAAGGATGTGGTTAAGCATTTAGTTTAAGCTAGACCGATACCAATAATGGATGAGAAAATAAACAATAGAAGGATAATAACTCTCACCTTCCAGATATGAGGGCAGTAAGTGCAGTGGTACCAGAGGAACTATCAAGAGAACCAGTATCAGCAAAAGCATGGTCAGCGTTTAGGAAAGCACTCTTAATAGCCTTCTTGGCACAAAAGGGGAAATGTGAATCCTCAACTATAAACCTCAAAATGTTCTCTCTGATAAAAGAAGCTGCATCTGTACCACCATGGCCATCAAAAACCTGCAGTAGAACAAGAATGTTGACACATCATGGCATGTTATGGTAGTTGTGCGCTTAAAGGAATCACCGCCATTTTCATTAATCAACAATGAAAGCAGCATTAATGTTTCTAGAAACAACTCTATATAGCTTAGTTAGTGATTAAATTACAAACCCCATAGAAAGCTCCAGGAGAAGGAAAGTTCGCAGTGGCACCTAGATGTTCGAAAATATTGTCTATACAGATATGCTCATCCTCCATATAAGGTTTTGGACCGATCTCTGAACAGCTTCCAGAACGAAAAACAGGTACAAATGCAGAGTTACTATCTGATGAGGACTTTGAGCTAACAATCCCAACATCCGACTCCTAAGCAAGGAGTGAAGAGGCAACATCAAATTCCATACAACTTTAATATGAAGAAACGATAGAAAACTGCAATTATTACAGATGATAGAAATCAATCTCACCACTTCAGTTGCAGGAGCCAACTGGGCAGAGCTCACACAATACCTCATAGCTGAGAGGTGCCGAGGAGGTTTGCCCATGTTCGGTTGCTTTAAGCTCTCAAAAGTAAGTGATTTCTCTTCTTTTGTAACAGTAACGTTCTCCTTTCTGTGGCTGCCATCTAACATGGAAAGTGGAGATGGGTAGTCGGTCCCTGCAGCCATTTTCTCTCCAAAACATAATCCAATCTTGAATCAGAAACTGGACCTCAAGTGTTCCCTTTCAACCAATCCTTTTGCAAAGAGTTGGTTCAAACTTCAAAAGCTTCTTACTTTTATCAAGGAAACAATTTCTGATATCAGGAACAGACCCCAAATCATACCACACAAGTAGCTTTCCTCCTTTTAGGTTGTTTCTTCAGATACTTTGATGGACACCTGAGTAGAAAATGACCAGAAAATTCTCAACTTACTTCTCAATTATTTTGTTGAGCTAAAATTAAAGATCAAACAGCCCAGTTAATCTGTTGAACCACCAGCTACAAGTATGTACCCTAAACATAAACTCAGCAAAAAGCATATTCAAATAACAACTTTGTCATTTCAGGACTATCCACAAACCCATATCACAATCCAAATCACCAAAATCTGCCACAACCCATATCAGATTTCAGAAAAGAAAAACCAGAAACAAAGGCCATGACTTTATTCTAATTCTGGGAAGTATAAATACATAGTTTTCATTTAAAATAAAAACTATAATTCACAGATTTAAACTGCATACACCAAATCCAAATACAGAAACCAGCACAAAATAAGCAAAAACAGTTAAGCAACAAAACCCAAAATTTATTACTCAAAACTGCAACATAAATCACACACCAAACCAGACAACTCTTCAGCCACAAAGAATCAAGCTTGACATATGCAAATCATAGAATTAAAGAGCAAAATAGTTGGTGGGTGATGAACTGATGATGATAATACTTGCCGTACTGTTTTGGTTAGCTTAAGAAAAATCTTCAAAGATCCCTGAAAGAGAAATTGGAAAAGGAGAGGAACAAGCCCACAAACCACCAAAAGCTTTCAAACTGAAAAAGAAAAAAAATGGTTATAAATGATTTTTTTTGGGTTGATATGTGTAGGATTGATGTTGATTCGTTGAATAAAGATGTAGAAAGAGTTTGATCGATGAAGAAAACGGAGGGTAACTGGCACGTGGGTTTTGTCAACCGGTCATTGCGGGTCGTCCCGGTGGACTTGTAAATACGGACAGCTGGGCATCTGGCACGTGGCGCGTAGGATGTTTGATATTTGGGTTGTTACCGGAGAATCGGAGATGAGAGGGTTGTAGTTTCAGGTGTTGAGGTTCAACAATTGCGGCTGGGCTGTCGTGTCTGCCGTTGGATTGCAACAGTTGATAATTGACGGCCGGATGATGACTGACGGTTTTCACCAAACTTGGGAACTGGTAGTTGACGGTCGTTGACAACGGCGATCCCATTCATGTTTTCCAACTAGCAACAACTAAAATCCACCCAAATATTTTTTTTTATAACAACTGAAAATTGAGGTTTGCAAAATCTTTCAATGTTAGGAAAATGAGTATCAGACCAAAGAGCATTTTAAAGAGGTGAGCTTTCACAATTGATATTCACATCAATGAGCCAAATAAATTAAATTAGAAGACATTTTCATTGCATGTTTTTGTTTTTGTTTCTAATGATGGAGATTTAGACAGGTAATAGACCCAATAATACATACACATCTGGAAGCTGACCAAAAAAGTCACTAATAAATATCTCTATCTTCATATGCCACTCTCTGGTCAGATTGTTATTAAAAATGGATGACCTTTTTGGGATTTATTATCTAAATTATGGGTAATTTTCTTAGCCCAAAAACTATATATATATATTCAACTGATGGGTTATTTGAGCTAACAGAGTAAGTTATGTCATGTCACTCAAATTTCACCAATTGTGCCCATATTATAGTTAAGGCTCCATGCAATTTCTGCTTCTTTTTGGTAAGTAAAACATGGGTTTTGATTCTCATTTACAACTTGTAGTTGTCTTTTCATGCATGTTGACATGAACTGACCACCCATATACACAGATTTCCAGAGGCATGAGCTTGCTGCTATATTCTTCTTCTAAAAGCACTTCTTAATAAAGGAAAAATTTCACTGTGCCACTTGCGCAGAATACCAGTGAATTATGTGGACAAGATCTCCAAAGCGTTATTTGATTGTCACTCAACTCAACTTTCATCAGCACATGCATTTGCTATGTAGAAAGAGTGGGATTCTCAAATGCTTACACAGCAGCAGCTGACGCT